ATATGGACCTGGTTTTCGAATATTTGGAGATAGCCTATGTATAATTGTACCTTTCTTTTAGTATTAGTCCCGAATACCCTTAGGAAAATAGAAAAAAATGAAAGAACAATGGAAAAGTAGATAGAGGAAGAAAACAGTTTTCTTTATAAGAAAATGAAGTACAGAGACACTCAAAAACTTTCATTTTTAATTATAGTTTACTTTTTTATTAAAAATAAAAAGAACCACAAAAAACCAGACAATCAAATTGGTGATTCAAAATTCACCTAAATGATATAACACAGTTACAAACGAACACTATGTGCAAACTTGTTTGCATTTTTGTTATTTTGCGCATGAAAATGTTATAACAAATGTGTTAGAAAATTTACATCGCTAAATTCATATAAACTAGGTATTTTCCTGGACCATGTGCAGTAATAAAATTTTAAGCTTAAACTATAAAATCAGATTTTATTTTCTTCTTACGAAAAATTTAATAGAAATTTTGATTTAATTAAAAATAAAATTAAAATAAAATAAAAACTCTTGTTCCTTTAAAATTATATTTAAGAATCAATATATGTATAAAATTATAAGTTTGAATAGATTTTTTATCTATTTTTAATAACATATATTAAATCAGCTTGTATAAATTAATAAAATTTTTATAAAGTTATATAATTATAAAACAGTACAACTAAACAGTATTTTTAAAATTTGTAGATATATAAAAGAATTAAAATAATAAATTCAATTTAACATAAAATTAAATCAAAATAAACAATTTTGTTTATTTTAGATTATATTTAAGATGATATATATATATATATAATTATAAATTTAGATAAATTCGTTGTTCTATTTATCTTGAATAATATGTATTAAATAACCAGTCCAATTAAACAGTATTTCTAAAATTTGTAGATATATATATATATATATATATATATATATATATATATAAGAAGCTAATATTATTATGCTTTAAAATTTCTAATTTTGTTAAAAATTAAAAAAAATTTTAATAGATTATATAATCATAAAAAATAATTAAAATTTTATACCCTATTATTATATTTCTATTATTATACTATTTAATACTAAATTTAAATAGATTTACAATAATGATGATGTATAATTTACTATCATATTTAAATACTTTACCAAAAAATAAATAAGCATTAAATACAATTGTCCATATCATATTAAATCATATGCCATGTCATCTTTCTAGTATGCCATATCACATTAATTTAACGTAAATGATTGTAGAAACGATATATGTTAAAATCACTTTGCAAATAATGTATAAAAAATGATTTAAGAAATCAGACCATTCTGCCAACGTTACCACATAACTTGTCATTTTTACTCTCTTCTGGAGATATTATAATACTACAAGAAAGTATAAAATGACTTTCCAATGTCTATATCCGTTAGAAACACAACAAATATAATATATTTGAACGATCTTTGATAGATTGTCAAATTTTTTTATTTCGTCGAAAAACTGATTGACGACTTTCAACCGCTACTCCCCAAATTTACCGACTGTCCGCTGCGAGATGGAGATGGTGAGTGGTGCGGGGGTTTTGCGCTTAACATAGGTAGATGCTCGGTGCCTCTGGCGGAAATTTGGGGAGTATACTATGGTCTTGTGATTGCTTGGGAGAAAGGTATAAGAAGATTGGAGGTGGAAGTTGATTCGAAAATGGTGGTGGATTTCCTTATGGCAGGGATCGAGGACACTCATCCGCTGTCTTTCCTGGTGCGTTTGTGCCATGGCTTCTTGACGAGGGACTGGTTGGTCCGAATTGTTCATGTGTATAGGGAAGCTAATCGATTAGCTGATGGATTAGCTAACCTTGCTAGTTTTCTTCCTTTTGGTTTTCATACTTTTGCTGTTGCTCCGATGGAGCTTGTGGGGTTTGTTACATGAGGATGTCAATGGTTGCTTGCAGCCAAGACAAGTACGATTGTAGTTTGAAGTTTAGTTTTTAATAAATTGGGAGGTTCTCTCCCATCTTCCTACCAAAAAAAAAAAAAAAAAAAAAACGTTACCACATAACTTGTCATTTTTACTCTCTTCTCGAGATATTATAATACTACAAGAAAGTATAAAATGACTTTCCAATGTCTATATCCGTTAGAAACACAACAAATCTTTATAAATAAAGTTGAGTTTAGTACCTTCTTAAACTGTCCACATCATCAAAAGAAGGTGGGGTAAAAAAATCTATGTGGCAACAACAAACTTTCAACGAAATCAGCTTCTTTCGTACTCATTTTGTTCTTTTATTTGGGCTTTAGTGTTTAGTCGTATTTCCCTCAGTCCAATTAATTGCTTCTGTTTGTTTAGATATGTGTCCCATGTAAATCATGGAAACAGACACTACACTCACATCATCCTCTCCTTTCCGCCTTCGTCTCTGTCGTCTCAAATTACACCTCTTTCACTGTATTGTAACCGACGAAATTAAGGTGAGCCACCACTTTCTGGCGATTATTTTTTTTTATGTTTATGATGGCATTCAATCGTAGCATTCAACGACTTCAAAATCCTTTCATCTCCCCTGGCTTCCTCAGTCATTTCAAACACTATATATATGGAGCTGAAAGGAATGTCACCGCTCATATTTTCTTCTAGATCTCTATTATTATTATTTTTTTGGTAAAATTCTCTATTATCTCTATTATTATTATACTAAGGCATCTCTAAGAAGATTAAGGTGAAAGCGTATCTACTGTTTGTGTTCAACTTTTTCGAGATTTTGATTCAGAAGATGAGAAAGTCACCATTGATAGATTTCAAAATGGTAGGCTTACTTTACTGTGTTTAAGTTTGTTTTGTGGCTTTGTTACGACTTCTAAATTGATATTGTTATTTGGAAATGGAGAAATCAAACGCCCATGGGCTGAATAATCAAAAGGCCAACCTTGAAGCTGGTGAATCTGAGTCATATGAAGAAGATGAATCTGACTCTTAATTTTTTTTTAATGAGTTGTGATTAGCATTGAATCACTTAATTAGTTGAAAGCTATAATCTTGATGCTGATTTCTGAAATGTGACGCATGTTTTTTTTAATTTGGTATAGATGGATTCGGATGATGATGATGGTGACACATAAGAAGAGGAGGAAACACCTCTAAAGGTATTCACCTAAGAATTGGTTCTTTTCACTAATAGCTTTGAAAGTTTGTGAAATTTTGATTGATAATGTAAGGAATAAAAAAGGTGAAACCACGAGTAAGAGGCCAAATGGTGGATCAATAAACAACAACAAAAACATTGTGTCAAAGAATCCAAAGTTGCAATTCAGCATAAGCCCTTAGATAACTAAACATAACTCAAGATAGAGCTATAAAATCTCAAAACTTTGAATACTAAAAATTGGATTAATGTTTGGTTATAAACTAACTATGTGCAGGAGGGCATAAATGGTACAAGTGCAATAGAGTACATCCTCCAAAAAGGAAATAGAGAACGGGCCAAGTCATATTGTTTCATAAACTTTTGATAGTTTTTCCTATTGATGAATGGTCTGAGTGGGTGAGGATTTTGGGTTCCTAAAATTTTAGATTGTTAAATCATTCAAATCTATGTTATGTTGTAGTTTGCGATGTCAATGGGATTTAATGAAATATTTTTACTTCTCAGGTGAGTAGTAATATTATGCCTTATGCCTTCTGTTTGATAAACTGATCAACAAATATTCAAATTCTTACAGTTACAGACTTACAGTGTGGACAAAAGATAGTGCTGCACGAAACTTCAGTTTTCTTAAAAAAGTTTGGGTTTTTACTGGATTGGTCTTTTATTTAGTTTTGTTAGTCTTCATCTCAAATACCAGCTTCAAGATCTTATTTTGAAAACTCAAAAGATGTTATCCGATGCTTTAATCAAAATAGATTTCAGCAAACTTAAACACACATTGGAAATATGATAACAATCTGCATCAGAGTAAGGCAAATTTAACGAAGAACAAACAATGAAAAGTGTTTATATTTCCTCAGTTCAAGTAAAACCATCGTCATAGTTTTTCAGGTAACAAGTTAACATTCATTTTTTTGGGGTAAAATCACTTATTCATTTGCTTTAAGGAACTGAGTGAAGTAAGCGGCAAGAGAAAAAAAATTTCGGGTGTTCCTCACATTGTTTATTCATGGTAACGCCAATCTCTCTCCTTCTGTCCTTCTCTACCTCAAATCTATGGTTTTGGTTTCTGTTGAATCTGAGTTTTGTACGGTCGATTGACTAGAAAACTAAACTCGATTTGTGGGTTCTTCGAAGGCGTTTTATTAATCAGAGTTGATATCAAGAGGAGATTACAGAAAGATTCAAGAAAAGAACAAAGGTCGGAGCTTTATAAAGTCCGACCAGATTACAAGGAGGTTCGATTGATCGTAAAACCCTAAACCTTGC